TTCAATGGCACCTTTCAGCCCGGCCCGAATTAATATTCTTATTTCTAAAAAAATATTATATCTTATAGTGATGGGCCGGGGCCCGAATTTGGAACTTGGGCCTATTCAGGAAATTGAAGTGGGTTGTCTTTTATTAGGCCTGATGTTTTTACACCTGTCCGGAATCTTGTGGCAAACTGCTCGGGGACTCGAGTTAGGGCCCGTTTGGTTAAGCTTATTTTAAGTAGTTGATAAACTGTTACGTCAGATAATATGTTTTAAGAGCTGATAAGTTGTTGCATCTTATTTTTAGAATTAATTTTTAAAGTGTTTGGATAATTAGTTTATTTGCTATTTTTACTCATTATAAGATCTTACATAAAAATATGCGGTAAGTGTATTTTTCAAAAACATCTTATTTGTTCTCAAACATGATATTTATTAAAAAAGAAAAAAAAAATTATTAAAATTACCAAACATTTTGGAAGAGCTTATAAGCTCTACAACATCTTATAAACTCCTTTTAAGATCTTATAAGCTTAGTGAAAAACCCTCTTAGTTCTTTTTTAAATTGTCTTATATAAATTGATCTACAATCGAATCCAAAGAATAGAGCTTAGCCATTCTGGAGGATTGCTACTACTTAGCGAGTTTTTTTACATTTTGTTCATTTTCGTTTGTGAAGAGACAAGACAATCTTTGCTCGATGATTTAGGTATTATGTATGTATTGGACTATTTGGAAGGGTCTTTTTTCCCCTATTCTTTGGCGGTGAGTGCCTAATAATAATATCTCGTCTTTCCTTTAAGAAAACTTAAAAAATTTCCGACAATATTAATTTTAATTCGACCCTTCTAATTTCCACTCCTAAATAGCGCCAAGAAAAACTGAATTTTCTATTTTCGTTAGTGACATTAATGAAAAATGTTCGTTTTTCAAAAAAAAAAAAAAAAAAATTGAAAAAAGGTAATGAAAAAACAGAAAAAGGGTAGGATCGCCAAATATTATATTCTAGAAGGGGTGGATGCCGAAATTTTAAATACTTTGAGGGTATTGTTGCCAAATGACGGTAATTTGGGGCGATTGGGTACACAAACATATAGCATAATGTAAGGCGATTAAATAGTGTAATTAGACTTTGCTGTTTAAAAGAGTGTAATTAAGACTTTTGCTGTTTAAAAGTTGAATTTAAAGACTAGCATCTAGAAGTTCAACCGATACCAAACAACTACTATATTGGTGCAATTAAATGAGAAATTATTTTGGGTAAATTACAAACACCTCCCTGAACTTAGGCTAAATAAAAAAAACACCCCACCTATTCGTTATTGCAAAAAATCCCCCGATGTTTGTTTCCGTCTTACACCAGGTCCCTTACAATGTGACTTTTCACGGATTTTTTTTTAATTCCACGTAATTTTTTTTACACAATTTCAGATAATTTCTTTTATTTCTCACTTATTGAACATAATGTATAATAGACCGTACATATTTTCTATTAAAAAGATCTCGCGATT